GCACTGTTGGAGTGGGTGATTCCCTCTGGCTGGGGCTTTTCTTTCTTTCTTTCTTTCTTTTTTTTTTTCACCAGGTGCCAGGCTGGGGTGCAGTGGCGCGATCTCGGCTCACTGCAGCCTCCGCCTCCCGGCTTCAAGCAATTCTCCTGCCTCTGGCTGGGGCTTTTCTAAATGCTCCCTCTGTGGTTGCTGCCTGAGTTCTGCCTGGTGTTGTTTTCTGCTGTCAGGCAAGCACTGATTTCTGTCGCAAAGTCCCACAGTCACTGTGCTGTCCCCGCTCAGGGCACAGGTTGTATCGCCATGCCTCTCAGCTGCAGCCGGAGAATGGGGGATGAACGGCATAGGCACCCCAAGACTGTCTTTTCTATCCTCTTCAATGTCTCTTTCAGTGCTATGAAGTTAAAACCAGGTACTGTAATCACTCGCCTGATTTTAGCTTATCGAGGTGTATTTTTGTGTGTGTGGATAGTTGTTTAATTCGATATTCTTGTGTTGAGGACAATTGGTGGAGGCTTCTATTCAGCCATCTTACTCCTGGCTATTATTATTTTGAACAAACTGTTATCTATCAGATCAATTAAGAATAAGAAAGATACGGTTGCTCACGCCCGTAATCCCAGCGCTTTGGGAGGCCAAGGTGGGTAGATCACGAGGTCAAGAGATCGAGACCATCCTGGTCAACATGGTGAAACCCCGTCTCTACTTAAAATACAAAAAATTAGCTGGGCGTGGTGGCTCGTGCCTGTAATCCCAGCTACTCAGGAGGCTGAGGCAGGAGAATTGCCTGAACCCAGGAGGCGGAAGTTGCAGTGAGCCGAGATCGCGCCATTGCACTCCAGTCTGGGAAACAAGAGTGAAACTCCGTCTCAAAACAAAAAGAAAGATAAAACTGTATTTTACCTTCACTTATTCCTTCTCTCGTGCCCTTTCTTTCTTTATGCAGATCTGAATTTCTGACCTGTATAATTTTCTTCTCTCTAAAGAGCTGCTTTTAAAAATTCTTTCAAGGTAGGTCTACTGGTAACAACTTCTCTCAATTTTTGTTTGTCTGAGAAAGACTTTGAGTCTTTGTCTTTCTTTCTTTTTTCTTTTTTTTGGACTTTAAATATAAATGTTCTTCAGTCATTTAGTAAATTTCAAAGCCAAGTCACTAAAGACAGAGGCTTGTGATTTTCTTCCCTCAGTCACTAATAACAGACTATGTCTGCGGTCAGTGGCCTTCATCAGCAGGTGCCCTCCTTGGTGAGTGAATCTGATCCTGTGAGAAGAGAATGAAGTGTCTTCTTCAGTTTCTTACCCAGGAGGCTCTTTATTTCCCTCTTGCGATTCTGTGTCTCCCATCAGTTCCTGCAGAAACTTGAATTTAGATTTTAGAAAGATGCTGTATAAAATACGGTGGATACCCCACTCATCACACACCATCAGCAGCAGGACAACCAACAGTGTGGCCTTGAACACAAGCAGGTTAGCCCAATATTGTGCCACATCTTGGGGGGAGGAGGGTGGTTGGCTCAGGGCACCTGGCAGGTACTGTGGAGGGAATAGGTGAGTAGGCAGATGGTGTGTTCCAGGCTTCAGTGGAGGGTATCCGGCATGGCAGGGCACCCCTTGTCCTTCACTTCAAAAAAATGATTTAAAAAATATATACATAGATGTACTTATTTTGGGGATATAGGTGATAATTTAATAAATTCATTTAATTTGTAATGATCAAATATGTATATGACATTTGTCATCTTAAATATTTGTATTTTCTTTATGCTAGAAACATTTATTCTCTTCTAGCAATTAAAAAAACATTAAACTTTTTTTTAGAGATGGTGTCTCATTCTCGCACCCAGCTTAGACTGCAGTGGTGTAACATCACTCACTGCAACCTCAAACTCCCAGGCTCAAGTCATCCTCCCACCTCAGCCTCCTGAGTAGCTGAGATTGCAGGTGCATACCACCATGCCTGGCTACTTTTTACACAATTTTTTGGTAGAGACAGAGTTTCACTATGTTGCCCAGGCTGGTCTCGAACTCCTTGGCTCAAGCAATCCTTCTGCCTTGGCCTCCCAAAATGTTGGGATTATAGGCATGAGCCCCCACACCTGGCTTCTTCTAGCTATTTTGAAATATAGGGGAGCACTACACACTGGGGTCTGTTGGGGGGAATAGGGGAGGGACAGCGGAAGTGGGGGAGTTGGGGAGAGATAGCATGGGGAGAAATGCCAGATATAGGTGAAGGGGAGGAAGGCAGCAAATCACACTGCCACGTGTGTACCTATGCAACTATCTTGCATGTTCTTCACATGTACCCCCAAACCTAAAATGCAATAAAAAAAGAAATATACTAATTATCTATTAAACATTCGGTCTTAGTTCTTCTATCAAACTGTATATCTGTGCCTATTAATCAACCTCTCTGTATGCCCCCTCTCTCCTTCCCAGCCTCTATAACTACCGATCTACTCTCTATCTTCCTATGCTTCATATTGAAATATACTTTTTAAGCTCCCACATACGGGGTGAGAACATGTGATGTTTGTCTGGTTCTGAGCTTATTCTATTTCCTCAAACTGTTTTTGCCTTTTAGTCTGCCTTGTCAGTTTCTTTTTTGAGACCCAGACCTGGTGTCTTGCATGTTGGATTCAGATAACTTGTTTTTTTAGTTTATAGATCTCTGGATCAAGATAAATTATAACCAAACCTGATGTGGAGACAAATTACCCTTCGTGGACTTTGAGTTTGATATGATTGTTTTTCCCCACTTAGGGAGACGGTATGTATATTTTGTCAGAATATTTGATGAGCAGAGGGGTGGATTATTTTCAGCTGAAAACAGATTATTTTCAGCTCTCTGCCAACCAGACACTTCGTAAGTTGTACCTCCTTCATCATTTGTGATTGGTGGGGCCACATGACCAGTTTTCATTTTATTTTTTACTTTTTCTTTTTTTTTTTTTTGAGACAGAGTTTCACTCTGTTGCCCAGGCTGGAGTGCAGTGGCACGATCTCAGCTCACTGCAGCCTCTCCTTCCTGGGTTCAAGCAGTTCTTGTGCCTCAGCCTCCCGCGTAGCTGGGATTACAGACCTGTGCTGGCACACCTGGCTAATTTTTGTATTTTTAGTAGAGACAGGGTTTTCCCTCTTGGTCAGGCTCATCTCAAACTCTTGACCTCAGGTGATCCACCCACATCAACCTCCCCAAATACTGAGATTACAGGCGTGAGCCACTGTGCCTGGCCACATGACCGGTTTTAGACAATGAGTTTTGAGAACTTATAATACTTACAAGGACTGAAGTTCTACTTGATGAAATGAGACTTTCTAGAATTCTTTTTTTCTGTCTCTCATGAAAACCAGCTATGTTTCTTCAGCTGGTAACTAACTGAATGCATGTGGAGCAGCATCCCAGCTGACATGTGGTTTCAGTGAGAAATAAACCTCTGTTGTTTAAGCCATTATTGTCTGGGAGCTGCTTGTTATCTTAGCATAATACAGCCTAGCCTGACTGTTAACACAGCATAACCTTACATCTCCTTTAGGTCTTGACTTACGTGTAACCTTTTCCTCAAGGCCTTAAGGTTGCACCCATGCCCAGCCCATCACTCTACCCCCTTCTCTACTTTAGATTCCTGTACAGCACCTGTCTTAATATAACATCACATAGTTTGCTCATTTATTTTATTATTCATCTCCTCCTGCCACCAGAATGGAGGCCCCTGAAGGCAGTGATGGTCTGAGTTTGAGTTCCACTGAAAGCAGACCCTTGAGACCGGGGATTTGGTGTTGGTCGTTTACTTGGAAGATGATTCTGAAGGATACAAGAAAGGGAATTGGGGGAAAAACTAGATAAGAAAGTGAAATCAATAAAGGAGGCATTAGTAAACTTATTACTGCTGCGAACAATTCTTTGGAGATCCTCTGAGACGCCCTGTTGAACTGAAATTCTCATACGTTTCCTACCTAGAGATAGAAAAACTGGAGTATTGTCTCCAGCTCCTGCCATTGTCGGATGTAGGGAGGCTTAAACCTCTGGCACATCCAGACTGACTTGCGCATGGGCTGAGCAAGCTTGCCTAGTGCAGAGAAAGCCTTCTGGCAGAGAAGCACAGAGGTAGACACGGTTCCTGTGCGTAGGAACTGTCCAAAACAGTTGCAGGTGTGTCAAGGGGACATGCAGTGGGGGTACCAGCAGAATCTACCATAAAGATTTTCACTTTTTTTTTTTTTAAATGAGACAGTGACTCACTCTGTTGCCCAGGCTGGAGTGCAGTGGCGTGATCTCAGCTCACTGTAACCTCCACTTCTGGGGTTCAAGCAATTCTGCTTCAGCCTCCTAGCCTCCTGAGTAGCTGGGATTATAGGCGCATGCCACCATGTGTGGCTAATTTTTGTATTTTTAGTAGAGATGGGGTTTCACCATGTTGGTCAGGCTGATCTTGAACACTTGACCTTGTGATCCACCCACCTCGGCCTCCCAAAGTGCTGGGATTACAGGCTTGAACCACCACACCTGGCCAAGATTTTTGCTTTTTATTCCCTGGTGTATCCCCAGTCCCTAAACAGTGTTTGACAAATTTTAAATAAAAATGAATGAGTACACTATAGTGGACATTCACTGGATGTGTCCCCACCATCCATTTTCCATTTTGTAATTGAACCCTTTCCCTTTTTTCCCTTGGGATGCTACTTCTCCCCATTTCTCAGCTGGGGCTTTGGTAGGGATTGGACTGATGTCTAGTTACTGGGTGTGGACTCCCTCCCCAGCCCCCACTCTGAAGACTTAATATTATCAACCTTCCTTACTCCCCTCCCCTCCCCACCACAGCTGTCTGTTTAAAAATGGACACATGCCCCATGTGGGACCAATGAGAGTGAATTTCGGGGTTTATTCTCTTTCTCTGTAAGGATGTGAGCTCTGGAACAGCTGCAGTCATTTCACCACCATGGGAAACCTGCACCGTCTGAACTGACTGCCTGAAACCCGAAGAGAAAGCTGATAAGAAGGCAGAGAGAGGAGGAAGAGAGTGGGTTTTTGAAAATATCTTTTGGAGCTGCTGGATCAAGTCTCACTTGAAGCTAGAACTAAATCTGCACTTTTAATGTATATATCCAGTAAAAAGCTCTTTATGTTGTAAGCCAGTTTGAGGTGGATTTTTGTCACTATGGCTAAAAGAACCCTCGCTGATTCTACACCTAACTCACAGGCCTGTTGTGAGGTTTAAATGAAACAGTACCTAGAGAAGTCTGGTACACAAATAACACTCAATGAATGGTAAGCAATACTGTTATAATGTATTCACTTTTACAGAGTTACGTGACCTTTTTATTCTCTACTCCAACGTTGGCATGTTTCTGTTATTCTTTTCAGTATTATTTAATTTCTTCTCCAAAGGAGAGAGGCTAAGAGTACTGCCCAGCCACAGGCTCTCAACCACCACCCCGAGCCTCACAGTCTCCTCACACAGCCACAGCCGGAGAACGATATGCGGCCCACGTGGTGTGGTTCTAATTCCTCTGACATCTCATTTTCACTGTTTGGCAATATTTGTCTCATCAAGCTTACACATAAATGTTTTCAGCAAAGTGCTCCAAATGCCTTTTTCAGGAATCCGAATCCACATGAAAACAACGGCAACAAGAGAAAGGTGTAAACTTTCCAGAACAGGCCCAGAATCTGGAAATGTGATAAAGACGTTATTGTGCACCCGAACTTTTCACACAAGAATTGGAGGAGATTTAACACATGGAATAATAAACAGAGGAAGGCTGGCTAATGCAGAGCAGATGGGCCTGCAGGGCAGTGCTCAGCACTTCAACCTCTTTCCCTTTGGACCTTTGGACTCAAGGTACCTGTGTGCTGGTGTCTTTAGCTAAAAATAAAGCTACTGCCTTTGGGGCAATCATAAATATGGCTCATTTGATTTCTGGGGTGATTGGTGGACTAAAGTTTTCGCGAACCTACTATGTGAAAGGCATCTGACATTCACTGATTTAATCCTAACCACTATTCCATTTTGAAGGAAAAAAATGAAGGCTCTGAAAGTGTAAATCACTTCCCAAAGGATACACAGCCAGGGTGAGTGTGGAGCCAGGATCACCCCAGGTCTGTCTCATTGTGTATGTCATGGCTCTGCAAACTGGGGCAATAGGTGAGCAGGGAAGAGTCATAGCCACATAAAATTGAGACGGTCTCTCTCTCTCTCTCACACACACACACACACACACTCTTACATAGTAATAGCGTTAAGGTAAATTGATGTACAATAAGCTGTACATTTTTCTTTTTGAGACGGAGTCTCACTCTGTCACCCAGACTGGAGTGCAGTGGTACAATCTTGGCTCACCACAACCTCTGCCTCCCGGGTGCAAGTGATCTCCTGCCTCAGCCTCCTGAGTAGCTGGGATTACAGGTGCCCATCATGATGCCCAGCTAATTTTTGTATTTTTAGTAGAGATGGGGTTTCACCATGTTGGCAGGCTGGTCTTGAACTCCTGACCTCAGGTGATCCACCCACCTCTGCTTCCCAAAGTGCTGGGATTACAGGTATGAGCCACTGCGCCCAGCCAGCTGTATATATTTAAAGAATGATATTTGGTAAGTTTTGACTATGTCTGTAGCTGGGAAACCATCACCACAATTGTGATGATGAGCATATCTAATATTTGAAAAGTTTCCTCCTGCCTTTTGTAATTTCTCTTTGCCATCCCGCCTGTCCCTCTCACTCCTGATCCCAGACAACCACTGATCTGCTTTCTGTCACTATAGATTAGTTACATTTTCTGGAATTTTATATCAATAAAATGATATAACGTACATTTTTTTCTTTCACTCACGAAATTATTTTGAGATTCATTCATGTTATTGCTTGTTTATTTCTTTATATTGCTGAGCAGTTATTCCATTGTATCAAATGCCACAATTTATCTCTTCAGATACATATGGACATCTATAGATGTTTGCACTTTTGGGCTATTAAAAATCAAGTTGGTGTGAATGTTCATAGACAAGTCTCTGTATGACATGTATTTTCTTTTGGATAAAAACCTAAGAATGAAATGACTAAATTATATTGTAGAAATTCTGGCTAAGTACAATTTATATTATACATTATTTTGACTTCTGTTTTACATTTTAAGAATCTACCGGGGAACAGTGGGTCATTCCTGTAATCCCAGCACTTTGGGAGGCGGAGGCGAGCAGATGACTTGAAGTTAGGAGTTTGAGACCAGCCTGGCCAATGTGGTGAAACCCTGTCTCTACTAAAAATACAAAAATTAGTTGGGCATGGTGGCAGGTGCCTGTAATCCCGGTTACTCAGAAGTCTGTGGCACAAGAATCGCTTGAACCCAGGAGGCAGAAGTTGGAGTGAGCCAAGATCATGCCACTGCACTCCAGCCTGGGTGACAGAGTGAGACTTCGTCTCAAAATAAATATCTAAAAACATAAAAATCATAGTTCCATTCTGGAAGTTTCCTTGGCTTGATTTTACAACTCATGCATTTTCTCTTTGGCAGTTCATTCTATGACTCCTCAGCCTATACGTTGAATGTTTTAAATTATCAAATCTTAAATTAACCTCCCAAATAGAAATCATTCATGACTGGCTGCAGCAGCTCACACCTGTAGTCCCAGAACTTTGGGAGGCTGAAGCAGGCATATAGCTTCAGTCCAGGAGTTCATGATCAGCTTAGGAAATAGAGCGAATCCCTGTCTCTGCGAAAAATACAAAAATCATCTGGGTGTGGTGGTACATACCTGTAGTCCTGGCTACTTGAGAGGCTAAAGCAGGAGACTTGGTTGAGCCAGGGAGGTTGAGGCTGCAGTGAGCTCTGATCACGCCACTGCGCAGTAGGCCAGGTGACAGAGTGAGACCCTGTTTAAATAAATAATCATTCATAATGTTTGCATATGGTAATCTTACATCTCCCTGATAATTAATCAGCTCAGCTATCAGGTCTATTTCCTCAGGTGCGAGTTCTGCATTTGGTAAGAGGATGATGTCTGTTGCACAGAGATAGATTTCCACAGTTGGTTAGTGATTCTCAACTGAAGAATCCTCTGTTTTGGGGATCCCTGTTAGCCTGCTTTGATTGTTTATTGCAGTCTACCTCCAGGAGACAGGGTGAGAATCAGACATAGAGCAGCCGGGGGCATTTCATGGGGAGGGAACTCCTCATTCTTTCCTGATGTCACCAGTCCCCTGGAAGACTCTCATAGCTCTGGGTCCTAAAGGCTCACACTCCTGGCTCCTACATGAGGGCAGACCCCTCTGTTGTTGCTGCTTAGTCCAAGGGGCAATGTTAACCTCACAGATGCTTCTTTGGCGCCCCAGCTCATTTCCCTTCAGTTGTGCAGAGCGACGACCGCTCCCAGGCTCCGCTTTTTGTTTTTGGTTTTTTTGGAGATGGAGTCACACACTGTTGCTGCTGGAGTGCAACAGTGCAATCTTGGCTCACTGCATCCTCTGCCTCCCAGTTTCAAGTGATTCTCCTGCCTCAGCCTCCTGAGTAGCTGGGATTACAGGCCTCCATCACCATGCCTGGTCAATATTTGTATTTTTAGTAGAGACTGGGTTTCGCCATGTTGACCAGACTGGTCTCGAACTCCTGACCTCAGGTGATCTGCCCACCTTAGCCTTCCAAAGTGCTGGGGTTACAGACATGAGCTACTGCACCTGGTCACATGACAGGTTTTAGACAATGAGTTTTGAGAACTTATGATGTATAACTTTAGGGCTAAAGTTTTACTTGATGATGTGAGATCTTCAATGTGAGTCCTTCAATGGGTCAATGAAATAATTCAAAGGGAAATTAAAAAATTTCTTAAGGCAAGTGAAAATGGAAACAGCATACAAAACTTAAAATGTGGTAGGATTTTGAGTAAGTAGAAGAGTGTAAGGAAGAAAACAATGCTCCTAGAAATATTCTATCTCAAGTAGAAGTTGAGTATTCCTAGACATTAACTTTGCACCTGGAGAGGAGGATAAATAATCATCACAGTTGTTTTGGCTCAACTGTGAGCAGTAATCATGAAGCCATAATAAAATTAGCACTATTTATTGGTTTTCAGTATTTACAATCGAGCCAAAATCAGAACTATGGTAATAGCATAAAATGCAAATGCCATTGAAGTTGATTATATAAAGGTAGAATAACAGAAGTTTTCTTAATATCCTAATCTTTTAAACTGGTGAGTCAAGAGATTACAAAGCTAGATGAAACAAGAAATTGCTGTTTGTTACTTACAATTGCGGAGGTCATCAGTAGAGCAATGCTTCTTAAAGTGTGATTCCTGAGCCAGCAGCATCAACCTCTCTTGGGATTTTGTGAGAAATAAAAATTCTCGGGCCCACCCTAGACCCACTGAATTAAAAGCTCCTCGGGTGGGCCCCAGCAATCAGTTTTTTTTTTTTTTTTTTTTTTTTTTCCCTGAGATGGTGTCTCACTCCGTTGCCCAGGCTGTGATCTCGGCTTACTGCAGCCTTGCAGCCTCCACCCCCGTGGGTTCAAATGATTCTCCTGCCTCAGCCTCCCCAGTAGCTGGGATTACAGGCGTGTCCTACCACACCCAGCTGATTATTTTATTTTTAGTAGAGACAGTTTCACCGGGTTGGCCAGGATACTCTTGAACTCCTGACCTCAAGCGATTCACCCACTGGGCCTCCCAAAGTGCTGGGATTATAGGTGTGAGCCACCGCGCCCGGCCTACCTGAAGGCTGAGTATTCTTGGAGCTACCTCCCATATGCGAGAGTGTTTGCCCATGTGATCTTCAGTATAGGGATTCTTTTAGACTCTGATTTGACTGCCTTCCATATTTCACAGAATTTTCAAGATTTCTTATACATAAGGAAACCCCTTCCAGTTTTCTAACATTGTCATGGATCAAAACCACATTTGTTTCATTTCTAGAGACCTATGTTGCGGGGGGCCTTGGGCTCAGATCTTCCAACCTGAACAGAATCTGTAGGCAATATCTGCATCTGTAGAAGAATCTCTTGGTATTTGAAGGCCCCATGTGTGCAGACCACATATGGTATGTGTTACCATACAAGTTTGGTTTGTGGCTGGGTGCGGTGGCTCACACCTGTAAGTGGTGGATTAAAGATGGTGCAAATTCTCTGCTACTCCTTCCCTTGAAAGGGGAAGTCTAGCTTCCCTCCCCTTGAGCCTGGGCCAGCCTGGGTGGCTTGACTGGCCAGTAGAGTAAAGCAGAAGTGATATTCTGGGACTTCTAAGGTGGGGGTCATAAGAAACCTCACAGCTTTCCCCTAGGTGTCTTGGTACATGGTCTCCAGGAGCTCAACCCCACCACTTAAGAAGTGTGACTCCCTTGAGCACCATGTGGTAAAGACTCCAGATAGGTGCCATGATCAACAGTCCCAGTTGAGCCCAGCCATTCAGCCATTGCCTCCAACGTACCAGGCATGTGAATGAGTGGGTTAGGCCTTGCAAAAAAAAAAAGCCAAGCCATCTGCTGGCTACCACTGAGTAACCTCAGCCAATGCCACATGAAACAGAACCAGCCACATGAAACAGAAATTGCCCAGCCAAGCCCTGCCCACATTACTGATTACTGCCCACAGAAGTGTAGGATATAACAAAGTAGGACTGAGGTGGGAGGATTGCTTGAGCCCAGAAGTTCTAGTCCAGTCTGAGCAACGCAGCAAGCTTCTCTCTAAGAATGAATGAATGAATAAATAAATAAAAATAATAAAGTAGTTGTTTTAAGCCACTAAGTTCTGGGGCAGTTTGTTATGTGGCAATAGATAACTGAAACACTTGGCATATAATAAATGCTTAATAGATACAAGTCAGAGCATTCTGATGTCAGATTTCATTAGCCATGATCAATAGGTAAGAGTAGCCAAGTTTGGGAGATTACTGCCCTGGCCCCACCTTCCACGACCTCCTCTGTCTCTACCCCTGGGATTTTCCTAGCAATGCTGGGACTTATTTTTCCATCTGGTGCACAGTGTGCTTTCATCTGCTAAAAACCTCATTAAGTCCTTGTTAACCATCTACCTTCTGCATAAAGGACACCCCACCAAACAGCCCCCGGGCTACTTTTTTTTATTGAAACAGGGTCTCTCTCTGTCACGCAGGCTGGAGGGCAGTGGTGTGATCACAGCTCACTGCAGCCTTGACCTCCTGGGCTTAACTAATCCTCCCACCTCAGCCTCCTGTGTAGCTGGAACCATAGGCATGTGCCGCCATGTCTAGCTAATTGTTTAATTTTTTTGTAGAGGTGAGGGCTCACTGTGATGCCCAAACTGATCTTGAATTCCTGGGCTTAAGCGATCCTCTTGTCTTGGCCTCCCAAAGTGCTGGAATTACAGGTATGAGCCACCTCACCTGGCCCAAACCATTTCTAATGCTACCTCTGCCATCATCATCTTCATGGATAACCTTGGACCTACTTTCTGGCCCCATTTCTCCATTTTTATTTTAACTTAATTTTATTTATTTAGTTTTTTGAGATGGGGTCTCACTCTGTCACCCAGGCTGGAGTGCAGTGGCACTATCTCAGCTCACTGCAATCTCCACCTCCCAGGTTCAAGCGATTCTTCTGCTTCAGCCTCCTGAATAGCTAGGATTATGGCATGCACCACCACGCCTGGCTTATTTTTGTATTTTTGGTAGAGATGGGGTTGTGCCATGTTGGCCAGGCTGGTCTCGAACGCCTGTCTTGGCCTCCCAAATGCTGGGATCACAGATGTGAGCCACCGTGCCTAGTCTCCATTTTAAAATAAAGGTAGAAGTGGAGACTTTCCGGGGCACATCCTGTTTCTGATGTAGGTGCAGAGCATGTTTCCCCCACTTCACCTGCTCCTTTACAACCTTTAACTTTTTGATACTTCTTTTCTTTCTTCATCCATTGTCTTTCTCTCTTTTCCCCCTTTGTTAAGCTTCCGCACGTTGGTAAGCCCAATCTCACTTTTATAAAGCAAAACCCTTCCTTGATCTCATATAATCCTCCAGTGACCATCTGATTTATCTTCCTTTCTTACTTCCACCATGCTGCTCTTTAACTGGCAAACTCTTAACCCTTCAGGGCTCAGCTGAGATGTTGCCATTTCAAGGAAGTCTTTTTTTTTGGAGATAAAATCTTTCTCGCCCAGACTGGAGTGCAGCGGCTCAATCTCAGCTCACCGCAACTTTTGCCTCCCAGGCTCAAGGGATTTTCCTGCCTCAGCATCCTGAATAGCTGGGATTACAGGTGCCTGCCACCATGCCCTGCTAATTTTTGTATTTTTAGGAGAGATGGTGTTTCACCATGTTGGCCAGGCTGGTCTTGAACTCCTGACCTCAAATGATCCACCTGCCATGGCCTCCCAAAGTGCTGGGATTACAGGCGTGAGCCATTGAGACCAGCCCAGGGGAGTCTTTAGAGACCCCCTCCCACCCTACATGGTACTTTTCTTCTGTAGTCTTACAGCATCTTGCTGACCCTCTCCCCCGTTTCAATGCCTTTCATACTGTGATTGACTGGTTAATCATCAGCTTCCCTCCATAGACTGTTCTCTGCAACGGCATGCCGTATTCATTACAATAGATCAAGGAGTTAGCCCTCTTGGGTACTGCACGTTGATCTCTGCAGCTCTCCCTTCTCATTGGCTGACACCACCACCACCACCAGCAACAGTATCTTCTGGTACTAACACCACCACCATTGGTTAAAGCTTTCTATACGCCAGGAATTGTTCTAATCACATTACGTGAATCTTGCCAATAACTCTGTGAGTAGGTATCCTTATCCCCATCCTACAGCTGAGGAAACAGTCTTGGAGAGGTTAAGTAAGTTGTTTTGCTACTGGTCAATATTGGAGCTGAGGTTCAAACCCAGGAAGCTGACTCCTGAGTCAGTGGAGCCTTTTTGGGAAAGATTTAATCACTGTATTGGCTTTGGGCTTTGATCCACTGTATCATTTATTGTTTTTTTCCACAACGAATGAACCTCATATCTGCAGTTTTCCCTGCTTCCCTGTGCTCTGTTTCCTAAATATGCCTGTTGGTGTCTTGGTGGCCCAGAAGCGCCTCCCACTCCCCACATGGATGTCGTGGATTCAAAATGCATCTTCTTCCCTGTACCAAACACTCTCTCCTTGTCACCTTTGTTCACTAAGGACCCCACAGCACCCTACAGTGAAAAATCAGCACTGGGAGGAGAGTTGCATTCTGAGCAGTCATTACAGTATCGTCGTAGGTTATGCATTCTTGATTTCAGCCCTCACGGCTTCATGGATGGAGAGCTGAGGCTCCTGATGGGATTCACTCCCATCTGAATCAGAGGGCTGTAATGGAATAGGGCAAAAGGAGACATTCCATTACAGACAAAGTCAAACCACAATAAACAAGCACAGCCAAAGGAAATAGAAGAAAGAAAAGACAAGACAAAAAACACTTACATACAGAAGGAGGATGGCGAGTTACTGAAAGAAAAAGAGTTTACCTGCATCATAAAATTCTGGAACGAAGATGCGGCCGAGTTTCTCAAGTCTCTTATAGGAGATTTAGACTAGTATTTCTAGAGTTCAACATGTACAGGCAACTGAATGGATGTCGGGTGGCAAGCAGACCACCAATTTTAGGTACATGTTTCAAGAGACTCATCAAATTTTTAGAAATAATAATGAAGCATAATATTTTAAACATAGTCATTTTCATATCAGTAATGGGGAAATATTATTTGAAGTTAATCATTTACAAGCTCTGTATCTGGGTCTATCGTATCTATCTGTTTCACAACAAGTCATTTAAAATGGTTTTCACACTTTTTATTTGCGTAGATCCTAATTCATAATTATAGGTGGTTGCAAATGACAGTAAGTTCTTGGTGGCTATCTAAAATGATTGAGTATTTAGATAGAAGAGGACCCCAAAATTATGTTGTGATTTCATACAAAACACTAACTTAAGTGTTTGCCAGTTGCTAAGTTGACAGACGTACTTTATTCAGAGTATTGGATGCTTCACCTCTGGAGATAGCAGCTCATGGATTCTGTCGTGGTTTGAACTACATTGACTTGCCTAGGTTGGAGGTACGTTTCCCAGAATCCCTTTCTCCGAGTGGTCTCCAGTTAGAATTGGTCCAAAGAAGAATTTGCACAAGGTTTGGGAGGCAGAAGCGAAGCAGCAACCATTAATCTCTGAAGACTATCAGGGCTGGGTGTGACAGGCACACGCAGAGGTACAGGCAGGCTCCATTTATCCTTCCTGTCCTCCACTCCATGGCCTGGTACTCTTCCCTGCTGATGACCTTGTTGACCTGCAGGGGTCCTGGCCCATCACAAGATGCATGGGGAATGCAATTTGTTTATCATTTCATCTGTAGTGCATGGGGCAGAACCTGTCTTATCAGTATCTTAATGTTCATTGAATAAACACATGTGCATGTTTTGATGTGCATTGATTTTGGGCTACCCAGTGCTGGGAAATAATTATACAATTTTCCTCTGGAGAATCATCCCCGTCCCACAGTTAGTCAATGTATGTTGGGTAAGGTTCATTTCATCCCTAGCTTCACTGACACCATGAGTTCAGCCAGGCCCATCACATTACTACATTCCCTTGACTACAGTGCTTGGCCTGGGATGGGACACAATTCAGCTTGAGCCAATAAGATGTGGTGAGTCTTTTGCTGTGACTGTCCCAACAGAGGCACATGATTTTTTTCTGCTGTACCTGAACCTGGAAAGATACAGGCCTGACTCTGGGGGCAGCCATTTTGGTGCCACACTGAGCCTGAGAATGAAGCCAGCATTGTGAATAGCAAAGTAATGAGAAGAAGCAAGGCTGGGTTCTGATAATATTTGAGTCTGAAGTCCGTGTCCCCTGGATTTCAATTATACAAACCAATAACCACCTCTCCCCTAATTTTTCCCCTCAAACCACCATGGAGTGGGATTTCTGTGATGTGGAGCATAAAATCTCCACTCATACCGAATAGTTTTCAATTTGCCTTTAGGAGCAAAACACCTTTTTCAAATGAATGTTTAGGCAGAACCGCATTACACAGCAAGGTTAATAGCGCTCACGAGGACCAGGCCCTGCTCTCCTGCTCTCCATCCCCCAAGTTCTGAAGCAGTTCCTGACACCTCTGTGGAATGCTGGTCTTGGCAGAACACAGTTTAAAAACCTTTAATTTAGCCCATGTCTCTTATTCTAAAGGTAAGAAAACTGAGTTTCAGAAGAGGGAGGGGACTCACTGAATCCCAGCGGCTGGCAGACCTGGGACTGCAAACCAGCCTTCCATTGCTGCACGCAGGCGTCTCTTCTCGCGTGGGATCACAGCATCTGAGGGAGTGAAAAGAGGAAGAGGCTGTGATGGAGCACACAGCAGGTGCGCGGGGATGCCTGGAAAACAGAATTAGGAGGGCCCTGGGTCAGCACTGCTCTGCACTGGCTGGGCTAGGGCTATCCTGATTCTAGAGTGATCTTGGTTCCTGGGATAGAAATGTCCACAAAGTAGAGAAGTTCAGTTCAACCCAAGTTCCTATATTGCAATGAGGATAAGACCATAGTCTCTATGGCCTGTGTGACCCAGTTGCCCATTTCTAGGAATCCATTCCTACAAAAATGGCAACGTGCGTGTACAAACAGCAACAATGACAAACACACACTGGGATGCTTTCCCAATGTGGCTTGTTACAGTAAGATAGCTGCTACATCTTCTTATATATCATGGCTAAATGATGGCACTTCATTCTGCAGAATCTTTCGCTGTAGTCAAAAAGAACAAGTCAGATCTGTATGTCTGAACATAAAAAGGTGTCCAGGATTTATATTAAGTAGAAAAATTAGATTGCAGAATGATATTTATAGTATGATTTCACTCTTACAAAAATCATTTTCCAAAATGTGTGTAAGGGCTAGAAGAATACATCCACAGTCTCAATAGTGGTCACGTGGGGAGGAGAGTTGGGGCTTGAGGTGGACTTTGGCCATTTAATCTGGATGGGGGCCAGAGACTCCCTCTCACACCTGAGAATGCCATGCTTTCCAGCCTCTTATGCAGCACAGGCCCATGACAAAGACTCTGTTAAACCATCTTGGGTGGGAGGAGACGGGCGTTTCCTCTATCTGGCAGAGCGGGCTGTGAGGTCAGATTCCTGATCACAGAACTGGTGCTGTTTCCTACAGTAGCATGCAGTGGTTATGTACTGTAGTGCTTAACAGTGGCAGAGGCAGCTTTGAACACACCAATGCACTGGTCAGCTTTGGGGTCTTGCTCCTGGAAGCCTGGCTTCCAGCTTTCTTCTCACATTCTGTGAGCCACGCTGTATCCTTCTAATAAACTCTTCTGCTTCATCGTCTGGAGTCAGCTGAGTTAGAGGGACTTCTGATTATTTTATACATGTCATCTGACCTGTAAATATGTGTATACATTTTTTAACCAAACATATTTAAGAGAATACAGATGATCTCACCTGAGCAAGCACGCAGTGCACAGAGGTGTGTGCCTCTGCCCTGTTTTGTATTTTATTTTTTGAGAGGGAGTCTTGCTCTGTCGCCCATGCTCTTGGTTCACTGCAACCTCTGCCTCCTGGGTTCAAGCGATTTTCCTGTCTCAGCCTCCTGAGTAGCTGGGACTATAGGTGCATGCCACCACAAATCGGCTAATTTTTGTATTTTGGGGAGAGAAGAGGTTTTGGTATATTGGCCAGGCTGGTCTTGAGCTCCTGACCTCAGGTGGTCCACCCACCTCGGCCTCCCAAAGTGCTGGGATTACAGGCATGAGCCACTACATCCAGCCCCCTGCCCTATTTCGAACCAGGGTTTTCATGAGAGAGGCGAAGGGGCTAATCATTATACAGCAACTATAGCAAATTTGGTTTGCAGTGAGATGTTTGCTCAGAAATGCTCTTTTCTTTTTAAATAAGCAACTTCCTGACCTGCAAGTTAATCTTAGGCACGGCTCCCTCACCGGGAAGTTGTGCCCTGTGCAGGCTGCACTTCCTACCGTCCCTGTGCATCTGCCTCTGCCTTCTTCCTCTTGGTTCTTGGGCAGACTGACCCTGTTCCCTGAAAGCCTGGTCCTCTGGGAGACTGAGGTTTGTATGTCACACAGAGCCGGGAGATCTGGCCCTGGTTGAAATCAGGGGATAGCTCCCAACGGCTGCTCAAGTCAGGAGTTTCCTTTGTACTTCAACTTGGGTAAGCTGGGCTAATTAATAAACGGACTTAAGAATGACAAGCCTTCATGGCCAAGGTCCAAAATGTCATGTTGGTGGATCATGACAAAAGTCTGGTGAAAGGGATGTTGGAAGTAAAAGGACCAGGTCCCGGGGAATGAGGAATCAGGATAGCATTGTCCACAACCACTGGAGGTCCTTGCTGATTTATTTCTTTGCTTTTTCAATGATCTTTTGATATCTGAATTTCACATATCCCTGTCTCAGTCTGCATCCTCCAGAAGCAGTCCCTGAGACAAGGATTCAAGTGCAAGTGCCTTAACTGGGAAACAGTCATTCAGGGATTGCCATTCAGGGACCGGAGAAGTAAGACAGGGAAGGAGGGGAGGAAGCCGATGGAGAGTGTTACTGAGCAGTTACCACTGTGGCCAATTGGTGCTCAGTGCCTCTGGGGAGCTCTGGGAGACAGTGTAGAATATACAGCTCAGAGATGTTTCATTGGAGCAAAGGGGGTCACTGGTTGAGAGTTGCTCAAGGAAGGTGTTCATTCTCTGGCATTTCTGGCCGGCCATGTGTGTGGGCAGAGAGGGCTCCAGAGATCAGGAAGCCTTCAGAGTCATGGATGCTGGCTGTTGGAGTTCAGGCCACATGCACAGAAATATCGCATGCTGCTGGCATCTGTGTGGGGCATCCACAGCATCTGCTTCAAGTTTCTTTCCTTCTTTGCACAGCTCATGAAATCTGCCTGCCTTCTAATCAGTGCGCAGAGACTGCCAGGTAAGCAAAGAGTTTCACTTGATCTTTGGTGATCATAGATGACTGATCTCATTTATATTCTTGTAAGTATCCATGTTTGTAGTCAAAATATATCAAATTGCTTAATATCCATGCCACACACAGAATAAAATAACATACCTGGTTTTTAAAAAATAACTTCACTGGCAAAATACATACTATCTTAACAGCGTCCAAATTTGAAGGAGAGGCAGAAATATATTTTCTCTTGTATAGTGAGATGGATGGAAACCAGAACAGAAAGCCCTGAAACCTTGGGGTTGCTGATGTAAACATATTGAGGGCCAACAAGTCAAATCTCTTCACACTTTCACCCCTTCTCCTGTCTTCCCCTTTCTGTACCCTCTGCTTGTAACTCATTCAAAATATAGTCACTGATCACCTACTACATGTTGGAAGTAAAAGGACCAGGTCCCGGGGAATGAGGAATCAGGACAGCATTGTCCACAACTACTGGAGGTCCTTGTTGATTTACCGTGGGAGTGGCTATTTACTTGGTGTTGCCTATGGTCATTTGCCACCTTTTGTGATGAGCCTCCAAGTGGGACACCTGGCCATTAGGTCCTAGTTGCTCAGGAAGAGTAACTAGTAACCTGTTAGTCACTAAATTCACTGCACGGTAGCTTTCCGAGGGAGAAATAAGTGCTGATGCATGACGGATTGGAGTTATTTGAAAATATGCCTGAAGTTTTACATCATCTGCACCTTAGTCCATTTGGGCTGCCACAACAAATTGCCACAGACTGGGTGGCATAGAAACAACAGAAATTTATATCTCATGGTTCTGGAGGCTGGGAAGTCCAAGATCAAGGTGCTGACAGATTCAGTGCCTGGTGAGGGCTCACTTTCTGGTTCGTAGATGGTGCCTTCTTGCTGCGTCTTCATGTGGTGGAAGGAGTGAACAAGCTCCCTTAGGCCTCTTTCATAAGGACACTAATCCCATTTACGAGTCAGTGGACTTAAGGGAGGGAGGGTTAGACAGCCAACAAGACTATCAAATATCCACCACAATAGGTTGTTTTAAAGATGAGGGAACAGAGCCTCAGAGAGGCAGAAAAATGCTCCATGTTCCATGACTGGTCAAGAGCAGAGCTAGGATTTGAACCCAAGTGGTCTGATGGCCCAGTTCCTGCTGTGTTCTCTCCTTCTGCTCTGTCACCTCTGGTATGGGTGATGTCTACGCTTGCTCACATACTTTGCAGAGGACAGGGCTTTTGGAGAATAGGAGGTTTGGGGGAAGAGGGGAAGGAAAAGAGGTCAGGTGGGGACTGTTGGAACAGGGACCCAGCCCAGGGAGCCAGACTTGGTGGAGGCTGCCTCAGGACAGCCAAGGACATGGAATCCACTCACTCTCCACTCACCCTCCCCTCTGTTATTTGGTTTGAGGAGAGGTCTACATTTAAAAATCGGGAGCCTGATGGATTGTCATGATTGTGGAAAGGAATGGATGTTCACAGGCACAGACAGAAGAGTGAAATAAATTGGGCTATCTAGGTGCTTCCCACAAAGTGCTTTCAGTTCTACATTAATTCCAAGTTTATCTCTTAAGCATATTTGAAATATGGAAATAATCTTATAATGTCACAATTTAGAATGTAATTTAGATAAACTAAGAAACTAAAGAGAGGATCACATTGCCTTGTCTCTCAGGCCCATGTGGGTCCGATTTAATAACTCCTGATGACATGAGGTTGGATTTGGCAGCAGATTGGACACATAGCTATAGCGTCAGCTATTCATGTTTGGAATGTCTTATTAGACCGGGTGTGTGGCTCATGTCTGTAGTCCCAGCACTTTGGAATGACGAAGCAGGTGGATCGCTTGAGCCTAGGACTTCAAGACCAGCCTGGGCAACGTGGCGAAACCCTGTCTCTACAAAAAAAATACTTAAATGAGCTGGATGTGGTGGCATGCACCTATAGTCCCAGTGACTCAGGAGGCTGAGGTGGGAGGTTCGCTTGAGCCCTGGAGATGGAGGTTGCAGTGAGCCAAGATCATGTCACTGCACTCTAGCCTGGGCAACAGAGTGATACTCCATCTCAAAAAATAAAAGTAAAAATAAAATGTCTTTTTAAATACAGTCATGCACCACATAATAACATTTTGGTCAATGATGGATCATAGGACACTGGTCTCATAGATCATGACAGAGCTGAAAAATTCCTATTGCCTAGTCACGTAGCTGTCATAGTGCTGTAGCATAACGTATTTCTCGTGTTTGTGGTGACGCTGGTGTATGAGGCTGGGCAAGGGGATCTTGTCTGTAATCTCAGCACTTTGTGAGGCTGGGGTGGCAGGATTGCTTGAGGCCAGGAGTGGAGACCAGCCTGGGCAACACAATGAGACCCCTTCTCTAAAAAATAACAAAAAATCTCACATTTTATATGCTGCCACATATAAAAGCATAGTACAGACAATTATGTGCTGAGCATAATACTTGATAATAATTGACTATGATATTGGTTTATGTGTTTACTATTCTATACTTTTTATTGATATTTTAGAGTGTAATTCTTCTACTTATT